ACATAAGGCCGCTCTGGGTGAATATACTGAACAAAATTGTTATACATACTATCTGTAAAGTGTTTTGCACCAACTTCAATGTTTGTGCTGATACTAATTTCTTTCTAGAATTTGTACTACTTTTTATATTGTGTCAGAATACATAATTCTTTCAGAATCTAGTTAGATATCTCAACCTAGTATCATTATCTTTCATGAAGATCATTTTAAATATCATGATGATAAGTCGATGAAACAAAATAAGTTAAAACAAAGAAGTAAAAAAACTTAAAATATATGTAGATAAAAAATAAAAGAATTATTTGGTTTGCCACATAGAGTAACATGATAATACAATTATTCAATTTCTTATATTATTTATACTTTAGAAAAAATATTAAAGTATTATTATAAAAGATTTCTCTGCAAGTACACCCAAATCTAACTTAACATTATATATGATTCAATTTATCTATCATCTATTTTTCTCAAAAACTTAGAAATTACTGAAAAAGGTAGTTATATTAATGTTAATATATAATGTATGTTATATTAATATTTACATATAATGTGTATTAATCTTAATTCATTATTATAAAAGAGTACACTGTAAAGGTACCCAAGTCCGTCTTCTCATTGCATATGATTTAATTCATCTATTATCTATTTATCTCAAAAACTTAGAAAATACTGAACAATGATGTTATGTAAATGTAAACATATCATGTATGTCATATTAGTATTTATGTATTAATATTAACGTATTTTAATGAAACTTTATTTTGCGAAGATGCCCCAATTTGCATTTTCATAGTATCATATATAATGATACTATCATAGTATTCAATTTATCTATTATCTATTTATCCCAAAGACTAAAAATATATCGAATAAGGTAGTTATATTAATTTAGAGACTTTTCGAATAGTAAAGAAAGAAAGAACAAATACAAAAATTTATTTAATTTTATTGAAATTTGACTGACCATACATACAATGTTGTTTCCAGTATTGCCAAGTAGTCATCATTAGTGGTCTTAGGAAATAATCGAATTTTATTTAATTAGTTTATAGTCCGTATATAATTTGTTTGGACTGCAAGTGACAGGCTTAGAAACAGCGTTATATGGTCAGCCAAATTTCAATAAAATTAAATAAATTTTTGTATTTGTCCTTTCTTTCTTTGCTATTCGAAAACCCTCTAAATTTTAAATATAGCTTCTTTTTCATCATATAAAGAAAGCATAGCTTTTTCACGAAAATATTAATACATAGTTATATTAATGTTAACATATAATTTGTATTAATATTAACGTGTTATTATAAAAGATTACCCTGCAAGGACACTCAAATTTGTTTTCTTATCGTATATGATTCAATTTATTTATTATCTATTTATCTCAATTATTTATTATCTATTTACTTTATCTCAAATAACGTATACCGGTATAAAATAATTATGATTTAATATATATGCACATATTTCTGTCACTGAAGTAAAGATAATTTTATAATAAATTTATAATATAAACTAAACACATCCTTCTAGCGTATTTGCTCCTAATATCTATTTTTTAATTAATGCGCACAGAAATTACAGAAATTACCGTCATTGAGTTTCGACCGAAAATCCAAAATTTATCAAAGATAAAAAGTTAATTGGCTGAAATATATGGGTCGAAATTTACCCCAAATAATTAAATTAGTATCTATTTGAGTTCAGTGGTTACTGATGTGTTAAATTGCTCAAAAATCAGTTCCGAGCCTAAAATTAAATTCATTTAAAATGCAAAAAAAAAACTTTAATTCACACACGAAATATAATGGTGAAAAAATTTAGGCAAATTTTCAAATTTTCCCATTACGTTAAGCCCAATAGAGTTTAAACAGAATATAAAGCAGAAGTATAAAGAGAAAAGTGGGTTGAAAGAAATATACGGAAAAATTTTAATGAAAAAAATAGATGGAAGAAAAAAATATTATAAAGTGTTTAATAAGCTCAATTTTACAAAAAATTTAACAACTCATTGAATTCGTACTCATGTGCAAAATAGTAACAAAAAGAAAAAAAATAATAATAATAAAATAAGAGATTTTCAAAGAAAGGAGAAAAGTGGAACTTTCGCTTAAGAATCGCACAATTGTCGAAAGGCATAAAAGTCAAAAGCAATTTGTGAAAAGCGAATGCAAGTTTATGGGTAACTACGCCGTAGCAGAAGGATATTGTATGAACATCCTGCATGTGTACAGGAACTCAAGCGAGTGCTACTGTGGGTGTGGGCGCTGATTTGTATGTGAATTTCTGTTGTATATATCCTTTTTTTTTTTCTTTTTTAGGTATGTAAAATAGCAATGAGAAAAAGTTTTTGTAAAAAAAGGTGTTGCCAATGCAAAAGTTAAATAAATTTAAAAATACTCAAACACAGTGATAAACTGATAAACTCAAACAATCACACAGATAATGCGATACTGCTGAGGAACAAAAAAAGAGAAAAAAGCAGACATAATGCAAAATATTTGTAGCTTAAATAAATAAAATGTTTTGGAAAATTTTATTATTTTTTCTTTACAAATAAAATATATCTTAAATTTTATATGAAATTTACGTTTTTTGTACAAGTCACACCTCCCGTAATTTCCTTTGTGTTTTTCTCCTTTGCACTGGGTGTGAGGCTCTCACTGCATGTCTTACAAATGATTTGTCACTTAAATTTTTGTTACTCAAATTAAAGGTGAAAAACACGACAACACACTAAAAGCCATTTTCATTTGCTTTTCTCGTGACTATTGCTGACAACTTGTTAGGCTATCTAGCATTTTGTGTAAATATGTAATTGTGTAATTGTCTTGTTAGTTGTGTGAGTATGAGTACTCTCTGTTAAGTCTACTCCTGTTAGTTTTATTGCTGTGCTGCCTAAAATGCTGCTTCTATTGCCGTTGCTGCTGAATAATTGATTAGTGCTTATTTTTGCTGTTGATTTTTTCATTCTTATTTTTCGTTCTCCACTGATTAGTTGTATTTTATATTCTACTTTCTTTTTGTTGTTGTGTGCCTACTTTTTACACTTGTACTCTTGTCCGATAATGATTTTTTTATGTATTTGTAAATTATTTGTACAGTTTTCAAGCGAAATTAATTTTTACAAATATATCACTTTATTTTTCTAAATATCAAAGTTGATATTTTTAACAATTTAATTTATTTTATTTACTTTTTTTTTTTTTTTTTTTTTGAGAATTTGAAGAGCAAAAAAATTTTATTCTCCTACTCTAAGGATAATTCACAATTTATTGCATAGTTTTAAGGGCGAAAAAAAATTCATATTTATTAGAAGCAGTGTTAGTTAATCTTTCATTCTGAAAGTAACAACACGTTTACACTTTGACTTATGTGGATTTTTTGATTCAAGTTTCATCTTAAATTTATATTTTCAAAAAGTTCTATATTACAAATCAAATTTAAATAACAAAAATTTTTATATGGACTTTATATGAATAACGGAATAAAAAATAGCACATATTGCTGCATATTTCTCAAGTTAAGTATAAGTACAGAGTTCAAAACATGATTACTTGCCGTATTTAGGTTAATATCACAAAGCTCTTAATATACGTGTCGGTATAATACGTTGATAAACACCCCATTGAATTTCCAATGTGCTCTTATAACACCGCTCTTAATATACGTGTCGGTATAATACTTTGTTAAATATCCCATTGAATTTCTGAGAAACTCCACCACTGCCAATTGATGCTATTCGTTTTGAAATAACTTCGTCCTTGGTCTGGGGCCACACCATTGCAGTCTTTTGCGTCACATCAACCGACTGAAAAACGCATATATTTGAGATATAACCATAGCTACCACGACACTCCCTTTAAGGTGTCAACTTTTATTGGTCAAATAATATGAAGCTTATAGATCCAGATCCACGTAGTATCAGGATTACATGTCCAGTACTCTAAACAGTATCTGGTTGTGCCTAATGAATTTTAGTTGCCTCTTACGAGAAGCAAGCCTTACCTTGTAAATATTCTAACCTCTACCTTAAAAGAGGGTCAGTTGGGTACAATAGTCTAAACATAACAAAACAAATTTTTTAAACTTTATTTCACTAATAAAAATATATACTCGACAACTACACCTAACAAATAACAACAATTACATATGTTAGATTATAGTTCCGCATTTATTTGTTCCTAATAGTTTCTATATAGGAATTTGCAATTTTAGAGCCACAAATATAAAAACTAAGCTGTATTGACAAATAGAGCAGTTGAAACTAAAATATCTTAAATGTTAATAATATACAGTACTGCTTGTTTTATAAGTCTATAAATCTAAAATACTTACTTACAATCCATTATTTAATTTTGATCTGCCAACGTGCTCCTTTCCCAATCTTTCTCTACTCTAGGTCTACGCACCGTTTTCACTTCAAGCGCTATTAGTGGATTTCAACTTCAACATACCATTGGACATAGAGTTTTTGTCTTGTTTTTCCTCCAACTGTCGTTTTGAAAATTTTTTTCCCCTGGAGCATCGTCATCCATTCAGACGACATGACCAAGCCAATAAAGCCACTGGATGTTAATTCGTTGAATGATGTTTTGTGGTCCATTCATATGCTATAGTCATTGTCAACACGTGGAAGGCAAAAGATCTCTTACAAATATAAAAGATCTTACAAACACACTTAGTGCTGCAATATCTTTCTGTGATATTTTCTTCATTTCTACATTATATAGAATCCCAGTTGGGGCCAGCGATGTATAGAAGGTAAATTTTCTGAAATTTCTTCTTCTACCATATTTCCTTCTTTTATCTGCCTGCATTTGTTATTTTTGAGCATACTTTTGTTGATATTATTTTATGATGTATTTCATTACTCTATTGATCAGCTATTTCCGGCAACATTGTATAGTTGTTGTTGTTGTTGTTGTTGTTGTTGTTGTGATTTGCTTTAGTGCTATTGCGTACTTTTACTCTTTTGTGGCTGGGGGCTTATCCCTGCTCCACACTAAACTTTAACTATACTAGAATCATTATCATTTATAGTATAGTGCTATAGAGCATAGGAAGTACTTTTTGTGTAACAATGGTCAAAATTTTGGTTGTGCAATAATAACAGTTTCTTATAGAAGCTTCAACTTACTATAAAAAAATTTAATGTTTTTATATGTTTCAATACTAAAAACCTACTAAATAATATTTATAATATTCTCCTTAAATTTTATTTATAATTTTATACCTGTACCTTTTTTTAACCATTCCAACCAACTACTAGTATTTTCCATATAACGCATCCTTATATCGTTCATTTTTAATGTGAAACAACCTAGAAGTGACAGCAGTAGAATGGCTTCATTATTTACATATTAAGCTAAACAAGCAATTATATTTATATAAATCATTATAAAACATAATCTAATCTATTTACTCTTAAATTTTACATGTTTTCCTAAACTTTTGGCTTTTTCAGTCGGAATACTTAAGAAATAAATTTTGTGTTTCTGACGTGGCAGCAAACATCTACGACTGAGAATAGTTGGTTGCTCCATATTTTTCTGCTGTCAGCATATCAGGGTTTGTATGCTTTTAACAACAGAAATGGTTCCATTGTGTATGTTATCATATATGTACATATATATCTTTTATATACACATATATATTTATGATTATTAGTCATAAATCATTATACGGAATTTTAGTTTATGTTAAACACAACAAACAAAATGTACAATAAAACAAAATTTATCATTTGCAACCTTTTTCCAATACTTTTTTTTGTTTTTTTGTTGTGTTTATACATCCTTGTAAGCTTAACCTCACGTCCGAAAATCCTTTTTCTTTGATAGGCAAAGTGTTAGATTAGAAAACTTTTATGATTTTTTCTTTGCACAAAATATTATATTTCTATAATCATACATTTTGAAAAGTTTTAGTTACTTTGTGTGTTGGCATTAGCAAAAGTTTAGTTTATGATTAAAAATATAGTCTGTTTTACTGTATTTACTAAAATTTTTTTCTTTAATTAGTGAGAGATAATAGCTCTTTAAATAGATTATTATGTAAAGTTGATTACTTTTGTCAAATATGACGCATCTGATAACGAAAAGAAACTAGAAGGGTTTGAACAGTAATGAAGAAGCAACAATAAAAATTTGATAAATTTATTGAAATTTTGCTGATTTTGTTATGTTTTTCTTAGTATTTAAATAAGTCAGTAAGTAAGTTATTTAATCAGTATGTTAATTAAAATCATAACCATATGTTGGCTATGATGATACCATACTATAAATGTTAAGTAGCAGAATAAAAGAATATAAGTATAAAACATCAGTGTATTACCAAAATTACAAGCTTTTCCGGTGAGTAATTCCAGCTTGTCTCTATTTAACAATTTCGACAAGATGTACAATATGTTAAAAGTAAGAGTGGTCTAAACTTAAGAAGGTCTGAATAGTCTCTTAACTACTACAAAGGTTCCTTAAATATTTTTTACAACTATTCGTTTTCGATTAGATTAGGATTATGCTATAGCTCTAACTGAAACAAACTATAAAAACTATTTTCTTATTTTCACATAAAATGTCTCGTATATGTTGCAAATTGAGAATCTTAAAGAAATGTCATTATCCACCGACACAATTGTATTATCGTACATAACTCAAGGGTGATATAAAGCATCCAAAATCTGAAATGCTTTACAAGAAGAGGTCTTACAGCTTATTGTTGTCTTCTAAAAAGTAATTTTCTAGTATCTTTATTTTACGTTGGGTATGCACTGGGGAGTCCCAAAACAGTTTTTTTGTTCTCCTCACAACTGCGGCAACAATCATTGAAAAGAAAATGTAATCTAGTTTCCTAACTGATAATGAGCCTTCAACTAATAAATATAATATTTTTTATTTAATAGAAAAAAAAAATAACATTTATACTTTTATTTCCTTAGAGGGGCCTTTAAATCATGTAACATTTTATGTTATATATGCTATGAATAAATGCATATGCTAATGATGATGATCGACCTCTTGCCTCTTTAGAGAACAAAACATAATGTATAATCCTCAAAATAACTTTTGCAAATCTTTTGTACATGATGTTCCATAAAAAGCTACTATAGGAAAATAAAAGATTTTGCTCTCGGGATTCATAAAATAAGTATAAATTATGACAATACTAACTGGATACTTTAATTCTAACTCACGATAAAATTTAGATTCGTATGTTCGTATTTTTTCTTTAACATTGCGTGATTAATTATAAATTTTTTAAAATATTTGTACATATTACAATTTAAATACTTTATGCAAACAATAGCAAAAACAAAAATCGAGTTTTTTTTTAAAACTAAGTTTTAATCTGCATTCGATTCCACAACACATTAGTGCTCATAATGCATCATGAAAAAGAATATAAGTACTTCACCCTCATAATGCATAAGAAAAATACATTAGTATACATAATATATCTTTAAAAGACGAACATTGATACATTATGCACATAATGTAGAAGTAGAATACGTATGAAAACTAAAACTTGTTTTAATTTATTCCTTAAATACTTATTTTCATTAGAGAATTTTTGTTAAAAATTTATCAAATATATTAGAGAATCTATTAAATATATCCTTTATATTGTAGTCCAAAAGATCCTTTAATCCAAGACTGTTGTTCTTAAACACGTAGAGACTAGCAGCTAAAGTAACAGCTGAGAAACCAAAAACCATATACCTTCGTCCACTGTTGCTAGATATCTTCGGAACTGGTTCATCTTCAATCTCTTGGCTTATATCAGCGGCGGCTCTGGAATCGTCCTCAAAAAAAGTATCTGAAGCAACTGGTAATCGTGCTGGATTTGCGGCAAAGAAAATCAGGTAACGTGGACGAACAACTTCACTTAGTTGAATGAGCACATCATTGTCGTCATTTAGATGCTGGACATATTCAGGACGACTTATGTATTGACATATAGCAACACATTTCAGCATAGTTCCACAAATTGATTGTGGCCAACAAGGCTTATAACTGCTTCGGTTTAAACATGGAATGACATTCATAGTTAGATATATGGAAGCAGCATTGTTATTTGAATTCATCGGGTTTAAAGATCCACTACATAAGACCGAAAAACACTGCTCGGGTCCATCAAATCCATAAAACCCAAATTGGAAACCATATTGTTCACCTCGATTCTGAAAAGTTCTTTCAATTTCTGATTCAGAGTCATAACAAATTTCGAAGACGTTAGTTGGAGCTATTGTGCCCTCAGTATTACTTAAAAAATCTTCAAAATCAGATTCATTCAGGTATCGGATACTCGGTGTAGAATCTAACACCAAAAGCCAGTGCAGTAATATTATAACGTCTATACTACATTGCAAGAATTGTTCTGTTTTTAAGTAATAATGCAAATCACGAAATTTAGGAGTTACTTTAATTACTTCAAGCAGTCCATCAAAATTAAATGTACGATCATTGTTGATATACATTGGCGGCATAGGTTTTAGCAATATTCCTCGATCTGAGCTTACCGCCGCAGCAACAAAAATGGTAAATTTGAAGTCACATGCAATAATGTCAGAATCCAGTTCTTCGAATAACTCAGTCATAATTTCATGTTCCACAACTGAACATTTATAGAGTGACACTGTGGAGTCTTCCATAGGAGCGGTAGAGAAAGAAAAAAAATTTTAAATTTTTTGTACAAAATAAAATAAAGTTTCAATTCGCAAACAAATACTTCAGGCTTTAGAATTTTCAGATGAATTTGTTCTCAAGTATCAAACCAAATTTTTATCATCCCCAATATATGAATATACAGACACAAAATAAAATTCAAACTTTGAATTTATTTCAAATGATTGAAAAAATTATATATATTGACACGATTACTATATTTTTTAAGTTACGTAGTTTATTCTTAATTAATAAAAATTTTTAACAACATTTTCGTTGTTTGTCCGAATTTCGTATGCCAATACATATTGGGATCGTTGCATGGAACGATGTGGTTTGGAGCTCTAAATCTTTAATTTAATGGCATTTGAAAGTATTGGCATTTGATAAAAACAGTTTTCCACAAAAGAATAAGAAAACTGGAACTTAGAAGGAGCTAGTTCAAGTTATTTATTGATTTTTCGTATTGTGTAAACAGATTCATTATCTACAGAGAAAATAAGTCTTCTATACACCGGGTCTTTTTTCACCAATTTTTCTAACAAATTTGTCTAAAAAACTGGCTATAAAAAAGTGGCTATTCTAGCTGTAGTTATTAATGAAAAGAGATAACCAGGTGAACTATGAAAACCGTCTTTTAGAAACAAATAAATCAACTTTTTTTCCTAAATAAAAAACGTACAGACACGTCAACTTCAAATGGATTGTTATGAAAGTACGTTTTTTATTATTACTGAACTTAGGCCGTTTCGGGTCACAGGGGAGTTTTGGAAAATGAACAAGCTAATGAGCTAGCTAGAACTGCATCAAAAACTGCTGACATAGGCCCTCAACCATTTTATTGGTTAAACTGGGTTGGTACAAAACAAATTATCAAGAAGAGGGAAAATCATATACGGCTGGAGTACTGGGAAAATTTCTCAGAACTTAAATAACGCAAACCACTGATAAAATCGTACTGATAACGGGTTTCATTACAGGTCATTATTAAACTACAATTATCTACATATTGTAGAAATGCAGATTATGCCTTGAAGATGAGGAAACTACTATGCATATTCTTTGTGACTGTCCAACTTTAATAACGCACAGAATAAACTTGTTTCATATAGAATTTCTGTCACCAGAGCAGATTAAGAGCTTTTCTCGAGATTCAGTTCTAGACTTTGTTCACAAAGCTTTAAAGGGCTTTGTGCGATCAACAACGCAATTGATGCAATTGGACTCTTCTGGCCTGAGTACCGGCTGCAGGGCGATTTCACGTCAGAGCTTCTAATAATGATAAATAAAAGATTAATAGGTCGTTAATTTAACACAAAAAGATTAAATATGTTTAAAATATTAAAAAATAAAAAATTGCACTCATAAATTTGTGTTAAATATTTAATTGTATTTCAATTTTTGTAATTATTTATTAATATAAATAATATTGTCTATGAAATATTACAAATTGGTCAAAGTTTTCGTTCTTCTATTGTCAAGTAGATGGTAGTTTGCTAACTTACTCATGAAACAGTTTTGTATTATACTGAACTATAGTATTTCTATTACATTCATATTACATTTAAGTATAATATATGACAATGTCATATTATAGTTTGTTTAATTTTATTGAATTCTATGCAGCCTTCCAATGGTGTTAGTAAAATTGTTCTAAGTCATATATTTAATAAATATTATGATATGATATTTATTTACACTTTTCCGTTTTTTATATATGAAATAAAAAATTTATTTTGATTTCATTTTTGTATTTCACGAAAAGTGTACATAAAATTTTAACAACTTTCTTTTGGTTATACTCATATATATATATAAAAGCATATATATATTTGTTAAAAAAAAAACTTTATTAATATTATCATATCCTTGCTGAATTACGGCATACAGAAATAAGAAAAAATAACATTTATATTATATAAAAATTTTAAATCCACGTACTTTGTTTGTATTTTCGATCTGCCAGGAATATAAATATTTATTTGAAATCCACGACAAAACTTCATTTTGATTTCAATGAAAATTAAAACTAAAAAAAACCAATTTTCTGATTTTTAATGGCAATCATGATATTTTACCACATCAATAAATTCTCAGGAGAAATTTCGTAATTAATCCTAGAGAGCTGCGTATAAATGAATGCACATTTGAATTACAATGTTTGCAATTCATTAAAACTGCAGTTCAAAAATTTCATAGCATTTCGTGCTATATTTTTCGTTATCATAAATTTATTCATTCACGAATATCATTAATGCATTTTTCATGAAGTTGAGTTTTTATTACTTTAGCAAAGTAATTTTAAACATTTTTAAGCTAAAACTTCAATGTACTACACTGCGTATGAGTAACATTTCAACAAAACTATTTTTACTATAAATTCTATTTTAATTTTCAGTTTGTAATTGCCACATATTTAATAGCATTTTTATTTAATTGATTAAATATTTTATTAGTATTTAAATTTTTAATATTATTTTGTAACTTTTGTTAATTATTGTCAATTTCAATAATTGTTATATACAAAACATTTTTTTATAGAAATTTTTTATCTCATTTTGGTATTTCGTTAATAATTTAATAACGTTTCCAATCACCTTGGACACTAATAATTGTTTGAGTGCTTATTTTTTTATTTATGATAAAACATTATTTAAAAAACATATAAACTTTAATTAAGGACATAAGCAAAATTAACATGAAAATTGTTAACGATTTTTTGCTTCGTAAAATCTGTATATTTAATAATAAAAAATTTTTAGTTATTAGTTTCCAACGTTTATAAAATTTATATAAATTTTTCATTGAAAGGCATTGTATATCCTTTGAATGTATAGTTTATTCAATTTTTTTGTGTACTGCACACCAATTAAAGGTAATCACTTCTGTTGCAATCAATAACAAGTTATGAAATTTATGAATTTTTTTCGGCAAAAAATCCAACAGTAAATATTTTTTAATGATTTTATGCAAACAGTAAAATATTTTATTAATTGGAAGGATATTGATGAAATGCAAATACTCTCAGCACATTTACTATAAAATATATGAATAAAATGTATAAAATAATACATATAAAATTGCTCGTATATTGACTAATCGAATATATAGTCGTAACTTGACAGCACTCATTTTAATGACAACAAATTTAAAAATTTTATCGCTGCAACATGAATATACTTTAGTGTGGTTTATCGGCTTATATTTTTTCAAAAATTCTACTAGTTAGAATGCTATCGTTATTAAAGAATCCACAATGATAACATTCAGTCATGCAGAGCCTGATTGATGACTTTTTTATTACTTAATTAAACAGCTTTAATGTGAAACAACTTTGAGAACAAAAACTAGGGAGAAAACAATCGATGACCAGGTAAAGTAATGATACTATATAAAATACATAATCGTGTGATTTCTCTAAATCAGTGTGTAGCAATATCTTCTTAAACAAAATTTATATTGTTAAAGGCGAAAATATAACATTCGTCGAGTTATTGTTCATATATAGTATCAGCTGATTAAAAACTGCACTTCGAGATCACGTTTCATTCAAACCAGCAGCGCCACACACAAGCCGAAAATCATATACAAATAGTAATACGAGGTTTGATAAGTCAGTGATTTTTTGAATAAAACAAATTTTTTTCGGCAAATAAACATTTTATTTTTCTACATAATCACCTTTTAGCTCGATACACTTAGTCCAGCGTTTTTCTAATTTTCTTATTCCCTCTAAATAATAGGTTTTCTGAAAGCTCTCAAAATACGCGTTTGTTTCGATAATGACTTCTTCATTCGATTCAAATCTCTTACCGCTGAGCCATTTCTTTAGGTGTTGAAACAGAAAATAGTCGCAGTTCGTATCCCAATTTCTGGATTTGGGATCGTAATGCCCAAATGCAGCACACGAAATTCACTTTTTTCCATTTTCGTAAAAATTCACGAGGTTTTCTGCTTTGAACAGCTATCAAACACCAACTGAACGACGTTGCTTGCTCAAAATTAAAAGGTTGCCCACTGGTAGAATACAGCTGACGGCAGCACTGTCGCATTTGGATTAACTGCACTGGATTAACTGAAATTCAAAAAGTCACTGACTTATCAAACCGCCCTCGTAGTATACAATTATTTTTTTCAATAAAATCATTTCTGTCCCATTTAATCGGGTTCCATCTAATATAAGTGTGCAGAATTTTATCGACACTAGTGTAGTGAATAGAAGTATAAGAATATAATTATTATTTTGCTGCCTAGCACTTGCACTTCAAACAAATTATATACGAACTATAAACTAATTTCAGAAAAATTTCGAATACCTTCTGCTCAAAAAGTACTCGGATTTTGTAAATAAAACACAAATTTAAATTTTATTCAAAATTTATTTTATCTCCTTCAAAATATGCTCACATTATATGTGAGACTAGAAAGAAAGGGTGTACCAACATAACAAAAAACGTCTATTACTTAAGGAGTAGATAACAAACAACCTAAGACTACTGATGATGAGTAATTGGCAATACTCGCTGCAACGTTGTGTGGTCAGTCAAATGTCAATAAATTAACTAAAATTTTTGTTGTTGTTATTTCATTTCTAACTTTTAAATAATTATTATAGTTTTTCTTTTTAAAATAGAAAAATTCCAGATTCATACATTTTCTAATAAAATATATGAAACAATCAACTATTTATTATATTTTAGTTATTCTAAAATTATTTAGAAAATTAAAAATTTCAATTTCTTTAAAGGAATTCTGTATATGTACATAAAATAAATGTATATTAATAAAATGCACTTAATGTTGTTGATGCTACTATATTTTAAAGCACATTTAAATATATAAAAATGGCAAATTGCTGTAATTTAATTGTGAAAATATCTTTTTCACAGTACGTTTCTATAGAAATTTAAACTAAAATATATACATTTGCAGATAATAAATAAAAATTCATTTTATTACCAAATAAAATTTTTAAACAATTTATATAGGAATGAAATCCAAAGCAATAAGTGTGTAAATTGTTTACATGTGCATATATATGCGTTCATTGCAAATTTAAATGACAGCTCTTAACTTGAACTTTAATGTTTGGATGGAAGCCAAGAGTAAAGCATTTATTTTACAATTAACAATTTGTGCTAAATTTTTATAATTTT